CTCCGCCCACTGCTGGCGCTCGTCGCGCCGGCTCGCTACACACGCAGCCCTCGCAACCCATACGTAAGTACAGTAGCACTGCGCGCCCCCCCCCTCCCCCCCACCCACCTCCGCCCACTGCTGGCGCTCGTCCGCGCCGGCTCGCTACACACGCAGCCCTCGCAACCCATACGTAAGTACAGTAGCACTGCGCGCCCCCCCGCCTCCCCCCCACACACCTCCGCCCACTGCTGGCGCTCGTCCGCGCCGGCTCGCTACACACGCAGCCCTCGCAACCCATACGTAAGTACAGTAGCACTGCGCGCCCCCCCGCCTCCCCCCCACACACCTCCGCCCACTGCTGGCGCTCGTCCGCGCCGGCTCGCTACACACGCAGCCCTCGCAACCCATACGTAAGTACAGTAGCACTGCGCGCCCCCCCGCCTCCCCCCCACACACCTCCGCCCACTGCTGGCGCTCGTCCGCGCCGGCTCGCTACACACGCAGCCCGCGCAACCCATACGTAAGTACAGTAGCACTGCGCGCCCCCCCGCCCCTCCCCCCCACACACCTCCGCCCACTGCTGGCGCTCGTCCGCGCCGGCTCGCTACACACGCAGCCCTCGCAACCCATACGTAAGTACAGTAGCACTGCGCGCCCGCCCCCGCCTCCCCCCCACACACCTCCGCCCACTGCTGGCGCTCGTCCGCGCCGGCTCGCTACACACGCAGCCCTCGCAACCCATACGTAAGTACAGTAGCACTGCGCGCCCCCCCGCCTCCCCCCCACACACCTCCGCCCACTGCTGGCGCTCGTCCGCGCCGGCTCGCTACACACGCAGCCCTCGCAACCCATACGTAAGTACAGTAGCACTGCGCGCCCGCCCCCCCCCCCCCCACACACCTCCGCCCACTGCTGGCGCTCGTCCGCGCCGGCTCGCTACACACGCAGCCCTCGCAACCCATACGTAAGTACAGTAGCACTGCGCGCCCCCCCCCGCCTCCCCCCCACACACCTCCGCCCACTGCTGGCGCTCGTCCGCGCCGGCTCGCTACACACGCAGCCCTCGCAACCCATACGTAAGTACAGTAGCACTGCGCGCCCCCCCGCCTCCCCCCCACACACCTCCGCCCACTGCTGGCGCTCGTCCGCGCCGGCTCGCTACACACGCAGCCCTCGCAACCCATACGTAAGTACAGTAGCACTGCGCGCCCCCCCGCCTCCCCCCCACACACCTCCGCCCACTGCTGGCGCTCGTCCGCGCCGGCTCGCTACACACGCAGCCCTCGCAACCCATACGTAAGTACAGTAGCACTGCGCGCCCCCCCCCCCCCCCCCACACACCTCCGCCCACTGCTGGCGCTCGTCCGCGCCGGCTCGCTACACACGCAGCCCTCGCAACCCATACGTAAGTACAGTAGCACTCCGCGCCCCCCCGCCTCCCCCCACACACCTCCGCCCACTGCTGGCGCTCGTCCGCGCCGGCTCGCTACACACGCAGCCCTCGCAAACCCATACGTAAGTACAGTAGCACTGCGCGCCCCCCGCCTCCCCCCCACACACCTCCGCCCACTGCTGGCGCTCGTCCGCGCCGGCTCACCACGCAGCCCTCGCAACCCATACGTAAGTACAGTAGCACTGCGCGCCCCCCCGCTTCCCCCCCACACACCTCCGCCCACTGCTGGCGCTCGTCCGCGCCGGCTCGCTACACACGCAGCCCTCGCAACCCATACGTAAGTACAGTAGCACTGCGCGCCCCCCCGCCTCCCCCCACACACCTCCGCCCACTGCTGGCGCTCGTCCGCGCCGGCTCGCTACACACGCAGCCCTCGCAACCCATACGTAAGTACAGTAGCACTGCGCGCCCCCCCGCCTCCCCCCCACACACCTCCGCCCACTGCTGGCGCTCGTCCGCGCCGGTTCGCTACACACGCAGCCCTCGCAACCCATACGTAAGTACAGTAGCACTGCGCGCCCCCCGCCTCCCCCCCACACACCTCCGCCCACTGCTGGCGCTCGTCCGCGCCGGCTCGCTACACACGCAGCCTCGCAACCCATACGTAAGTACAGTAGCACTGCGCGCCCCCCCGCCTCCCCCCCACACACCTCCGCCCACTGCTGGCGCTCGTCCGCGCCGGCTCGCTACACACGCAGCCCTCGCAACCCATACGTAATACAGTAGCACTGCGCGCCCCCCCGCCTCCCCCCCACACACCCCGCCCACTGCTGGCGCTCGTCCGCGCCGGCTCGCTACACACGCAGCCCTCGCAACCCATACGTAAGTACAGTAGCACTGCGCGCCCCCCCGCCTCCCCCTCACACACCTCCGCCCACTGCTGGCGCTCGTCCGCGCCGGCTCGCTACACACGCAGCCCTCGCAACCCATACGTAAGTACAGTAGCACTGCGCGCCCGCCCCGCCTCCCCCCCACACACCTCCGCCACTGCTGGCGCTCGTCCGCGCCGCTACACACGCAGCCCTCGCAACCCATACGTAAGTACAGTAGCACTGCGCGCCCCCCCGCCTCCCCCCCACACACCTCCGCCCACTGCTGGCGCTCGTCCGCGCCGGCTCGCTACACACGCAGCCCTCGCAACCCATACGTAAGTACAGTAGCACTGCGCGCCCGCCCCGCCTCCCCCCCACACACCTCCGCCACTGCTGGCGCTCGTCCGCGCCGGCTCGCTACACACGCAGCCCTCGCAACCCATACGTAAGTACAGTAGCACTGCGCGCCCCCCAGCCTCCCCCCCACACACCGCCCACTGCTGGCGCTCGTCCGCGCCGGCTCGCTACACACGCAGCCCTCGCAACCCATACGTAAGTACAGTAGCACTGCGCGCCCCCCCGCCTCCCCCCCACACACCTCCGCCCACTGCTGGCGCTCGTCGCGCCGGCTCGCTACACACGCAGCCCTCGCAACCCATACGTAAGTACAGTAGCACTGCGCGCCCCCCCGCCTCCCCCCACACACCTCCGCCCACTGCTGGCGCTCGTCCGCGCCGGCTCGCTAAACACGCAGCCCTCGCAACCCATACGTAAGTACAGTAGCACTGCGCGCCCCGCCCCCGCCTCCCCCCCACACACCTCCGCCCACTGCTGGCGCTCGTCCGCGCCGGCTCGCTACACACGCAGCCCTCGCAACCCATACGTAAGTACAGTAGCACTGCGCGCCCCCCCGCCCCCCCCACACACCTCCGCCCACTGCTGGCGCTCGTCCGCGCCGGCTCGCTACACACGCAGCCCTCGCAACCCATACGTAAGTACAGTAGCACTGCGCGCCCCCCCGCTCCCCCCCACACACTTCCGCCCACTGCTGGCGCGTCGTCCGCGCCGGCTCGCTACACACGCAGCCCTCGCAACCCATACGTAAGTACAGTAGCACTGCGCGCCCCCCCCTCTCCCCCCCACACACACTCCGCCCACTGCTGGCGCTCGTCCGCGCCGGCTCGCTACACACGCAGCCCTCGCAACCCATACGTAAGTACAGTAGCACTGCGCGCCCCCCCCGCCTCCCCACACACCTCCGCCCACTGCTGGCGCTCGTCCGCGCCGGCTCGCTACACACGCAGCCCTCGCAACCCATACGTAAGTACAGTAGCACTGCGCGCCCCCCCGCCTCCCCCCCTCACACCTCCGCCCACTGCTGGCGCTCGTCCGCGCCGGTTCGCTACACACGCAGCCCTCGCAACCCATACGTAAGTACAGTAGCACTGCGCGCCCGCCCCCGCCTCCCCCCACACACCTCCGCCCACTGCTGGCGCTCGTCCGCGCCGGCTCGCTACACACGCAGCCCTCGCAACCCATACGTAAGTACAGTAGCACTGCGCGCCCCCCCGCCCTCCCCCCCACACACCTCCGCCCACTGCTGGCGCTCGTCCGCGCCGGCTCGCTACACACGCAGCCCTCGCAACCCATACGTAAGTACAGTAGCACTGCGCGCCCCCCCGCCTCCCCCCCACACACCTCCGCCCACTGCTGGCGCTCGTCCGCGCCGGCTCGCTACACACGCAGCCCTCGCAAACCCATACGTAAGTACAGTAGCACTGCGCGCCCCCCGCGCTTCCCCCCACACACCTCCGCCCACTGCTGGCGCTCGTCCGCGCCGGCTCGCTACACACGCAGCCCTCGCAACCCATACGTAAGTACAGTAGCACTGCGCGCCCCCCCGCCTCCCCCCACACACCTCCGCCCACTGCTGGCGCTCGTCCGCGCCGGCTCGCTACACACGCAGCCCTCGCAACCCATACGTAAGTACAGTAGCACTGCGCGCCCCCCGCCTCCCCCCCACACACCTCCGCCCACTGCTGGCGCTCGTCCGCGCCGGCGCTACACACGCAGCCCTCGCAACCCATACGTAAGTACAGTAGCACTGCTCGCCCCCCCGCCTCCCCCCCACACACCTCCGCCCACTGCTGGCGCTCGTCCGCGCCGGCTCGCTACACACGCAGCCCTCGCAACCATACGTAAGTACAGTAGCACTGCGCCCCCCGCCTCCCCCACACACCTCCGCCCACTGCTGGCGCTCGTCCGCGCCGGCTCGCTACACACGCAGCCCTCGCAACCCATACGTAAGTACAGTAGCACTGCGCGCCCCCCCCGCCTCCCCCCACACACCTCCGCCCACTGCTGGCGCTCGTCCGCGCCGGCTCGCTACACACGCAGCCCTCGCAACCCATACGTAAGTACAGTAGCACTGCGCGCCCCCCCCGCCTCCCCCCCACACACCTCCGCCCACTGCTGGCGCTCGTCGCTCGCGCTCGCTACTGCACTGCGCGCGTACTGGCGCCTACTGAGATTTGCTACATATTGGAGATGAGAGGTTTTTTTTTTTAAGAGGGGAAAATCATCGAATGACTGCTCCCTCCCGGGTGAGGCGGAAGGGAGTGTCAGACTCTTACTGACTAAAAACCACCCCGTTCCTTCTCCTGCACATCGAGCCGGAGCCCCGGTTACCCGTTAGGTTCTCCGCGACGAGATGAGAGGATAGGGTCTCGGTCTCCACTGCCCTCACCCCCACTATGTTTCACGTTGCCGTGGTTGTACCATGCCGATGTGCTGTGCGCTTTGCGAGACCTGACCGAGATCGTTCTTAGATTGCTACTCTAAGCACGATCTCGCGAGGCCTACAATTCTCCGAAACGAAATGTCGTTACCTTAATTCAAGTACATTATAATACCAAATTGGCTGGTCCAATGTCGTTTTTTAGCAGTCTGTGGCACTCATGTACACCAAAGTAGTTATAAATGTGTTGCTTGCTGCTTGTAGGCTTTGAGACAAGAAAAAGAAACATTGAAATTGTTTAAAAAATAGTCCATCATGATTGCTTGTTAGTATTTATTTATTCATTTGTATATGTAATTTATGTAACAGAAAACGAACAAGAATTGAAAGAGAGAGAAGAGTTCGCGCGAACATGTTTCGAGACTCTACTGCAATACTCCATGCTTGAAGATATCGACTCTTTTGCTGGAGTTGAAGGTAAGTACGCAATGACACGTTCGTATATTTGTCCATCTTCAGACTTTCTTCTATCTACATTGGTCCAATGATTGAAATCATCAAATCATACTTCCTTTCATTTATTTGTTGATAAACTTTTTTTAACCTCTCGAGCGTCCTTATGAGCCCCCGGTGGATCATAAGAAAAAGTTTTATTTTCAAAAAATATTCAATTTTGACTTTTCTACGATTTTATTTTGTATTATATGTATGTGATGTAAATGTTTGCTTCAGATGACGCAGATCCTTTAGCGATAGTGGCCCTATTAGACAGGTTCCACGAGGTCATATCAAAATACACACAAGACGAGGACAACACCGAGCCACTGCCCAGGTCAGTACCATGGACTATCATCACCATCAACACTTGGGGATAACCCTACTCCTCCAACGAGTGACGTTACTGAAGATCTCTTTAATAACGTCAGTCGTGTTGAGTTGCTGTGGTAGTGTCACGCCGGCGTACTGTGAGGCGTGGTATCACGAACTGACACGCGCCACATTACTCACGAAGCATGGCGAGCCCACGCTTAACTCATTCAATTTATAATAAGCGCAGGTTTCACCACCGACATATAAGTACTTAATAAACTTATGTGACAGATAGTTCATACAAATTACGTTCTTAATTAAAATTTATCTAGTAGATAGCGGCTGTCTAGATATTGTGAAACAGGCCCTAAATGTAGTATGTTTGTAAAAAATACCTACGTCACAGGCACCAGCTGTCTGAGATATCGTTCGTGCTGAAGGCAGTGGCGACCCTCACCGACTCCATGAAGAAGGCACCGCCAGGGAAAGTAGACGCCGTCGCCTGGCAGAAGTTAATAGGTAATTACGACTTAATTTTCCTCACCCATTTATTTTTTTAATACTTGAAATTCTCCGGTAGGGTATCTTTAGTTGCTTTTAAACTAAGGAAGGTAACGTGTGTGTGGCAGGCCTGTACCCCGCGCTGGTAGTGCTGGCGGCCAGCGGGCGCGCGGGCGGCGCGGGCGCGGGCGGCGGCGGCGCGCTGCGCGAGGCGCTGCTGCAGTACGAGGCGCTGCTGCGGGCGCCGGCGCAGCTATAGCGCAGCCACACGCGCCGCCTCTACACCATACACATCTAGCGCAGCCTAGCACGGCCCCGCCGGTACGTTGGTTCCCTCGCATATGGAAACTCGGCCAGTTACAAAAAGATCAATTTAATAAAACGTAATGTTTTGTTAAAAGACATTTTCTAATCCTGACTAAAAATATGTTTTCCAGTGACCTCAGAACTCAAGCGAAGTCGTCGAGGCGCGGACATAGGTGGCGCTGCAAACTCTAACTATATGTATAGAATATAAAGAGAACTGTATGAAATAACATTAAATAGTTATTTAATATAATATATGAATTAGTGCTGTTTCCAATAAGTTTTTGTTAGATAGTTAAATTTTATAGATAGAGATATGTATGTTGAGTCGAAATGCTATATTATAGTTATGCTAACGTAAAAACATCTACAGATGGGGCCCAACAGGGCCGATGCCGATTCGGAGTCGCGGAGAACCTAACGGGTAACCGGGGCTCCGGCTCGACGTGCAGGAGAAGGAACGGGGTGGTTTTAGTCAGTAAGAGTCTGACACTCCCTCCCGCCTCACCCAGGCGGGAGCAGTCATTCGATGATTGTCCCCCGTTAAAAAAAATAGAAAAAACATAAAAACATCTCATGTTTGTCGTTTTTCTAATATAGTAAAAGGATAGCATAATTAAGAAAATTCTATAAGGCTGTGTATTTCCAATGTATGGTGTCAATCGTTGGGAAATTTTCTCATTTTCCTATACACCGTGAAATCTATTTCGTTTTCGTCCCGAAGTAAAATGGTTCTGTCTTCTTAATACAATAGTTTTACAAAGAATTAAATAAAATGTCTAACACATTAGATTATCCTTTAATAGTTTTTGTTGGCAGTTAAAGGCTTAAAACAAAAAATAACTGGTGTACCATTGCAAAGAGCAAACTTCGAAAGCGCAAACTCATAGTACATTATCGTTATCATAGTAAAACATCGTGTATTCTCGTCGGGTGGCACGTGCGTTTTTTTTAAAGTATTAAATACTATTTCTTTATTTTTTGTTCTTACTTTATACATCGAAAGATTCGAAAGTACTCCTTATGGCAGTTTGTTTTGTCGCGGAGAACCTAACGGTTTACCGGGGCTCTGGCTCGAAGCGCAGCAGAAAAAACGGGGTGGTTTTTAGTCAGTAAGAGTCTGACACTCCCTCCAGACTCCTCCCTCCTCCCCCCAGGCGGGAGCAGTCATTCGATGATTTTCCCCCCTTAAAAAAATGGCAGTTTGTTTTGACGCGGGACGAAAATGAAATAATTTTCACGGTGTATGGTCAATTATATTTTTAGGAATACACTCTCGTTTGAAGAGCGAAATGTTTGTTTTTTGTAATATAACATGTCGACTAAATATAATTTTATTACATAAAAAAAGAAACGAAATTATTTTATTAATATTTTATTTTTTATTTTCATATGTCCCCCATGCATGGGAGTTGTAACACATTGGCCAAATTTGGGTTTAACATTAAAAAAATGTGTTAAAAAACGATATAAGCATTCCTCTCATATATCGGCCAGTATGTATAATATTTACTTATAATGATAATTTGTATATATGTAACTGAATTCCATTGATAATAAAAAAATTGCAATATAATTAAAATAATTCAAGACCTACTTACTAATGCGCGGTAAAGATTAAAATAAGAACTTGTGTTGTAGTATAAATATTAACCACGTCAGAGGTGATTACCGAAGTAGTCTCATAATATACATTAATACCCAGCCAGTGACTTCGTACCCAATTTATGGTGTTCTTACTACTTCCCTGCACTCCCCCAGGAACATACATGACAAGTTTCAGCTTTCTAGGTCTAGTTGTTTCGGCTGTACGTTGTCAGGTGTTGTTAGTCAGTAACGGACGAGTTTTATATATGTACAGGGGTAACAGAACGCTCCCGAAAACCGCTGACCAAAAGATAGTTGTTACAATTTCAATCGTTTTTATTAACGTGTTATTCATGCAACACCAGCCTTGATCAGTTGATTACAACTATTATTACATAAAAGAAACATTTAATTACTTTTATGACAATAAACCTTTGTTTTTTTACCATCACCATTATTTTTCAGGAGGGTCCCGTTTACACCCTGTATATACTCATATATTATACATTATATGCACACCCCTGACTACACTTCCATTAAATAATAGGTGTGATGTTATTGTTTATATTAAGACATATCCAAAGCAGCTAAGAGATTCTTGTGGCACTTTATAATGCTAATAATACGACAATATTGACAAGTAAATATAGAATAAGGAAGCCATCATTAATCTAGAACCTAAATAGTGTTTAAACAAGGCATTAACTTGAAGAAAATAAATGTTTTGGCTTTATTTTATGAACAATGACTTCGATTATGTTGTTATATTGAAACTGTTAATTTATCTTATGCCTGAATATTATATTATTATATTGAACCTTCAGAGCATATCATATATTATTTTATATTACCGTATAAAATAAAAACAAGTAATTCTTGATTCATTATTATGTTTTCCGAGTGTATACTGTTTGGCGAAGGAATCGTAGTAGCGCGACAGTCGCCGCGTCGTCTGTCGCGAAATGCTATTCATGAATATGAGCCTCTAGCTTGGCTTGAAACTAGTCGAGTTGTTCGTCAAACAGTTGCGTGAGTACGCCGAAAATATATTAAATAATTTAGTATGTCCCATAAAAGTAGTAATATAAACAAAGTATTGACTGAGACCGCCTCGTTGGCCGAGTGGTCGCAAGTGCGACTGCCCGGCAAGGGGTCTTGGGTTCGATTCCTGGGTCAGGCAAAGTATTACTGGGTTTGCACAGTTGTAGCACGGAGTCTGGAATTGTGCCCGGTATATGGCAATAGGCTCACCCCCTATTACATGGGACTCATAACATAAATAGTGAAAAGTGAGTGTTACATTGTACAGTGGCATAATGTACACCTCTGCCTACTCCTTCGGGGATAAAAGGCGTGATGTTATGTTGTGTATGTTATAAACAAAGTAATTCGAGCAATGTTAATAGTAACTTAGCTTAAAAATGTTATTATTCAGCAATTGATTAATTTAAATTGAAAATATTGTTTATCTGTCTCTTACGTCTTTTTCTGTCACAATGCACCAATTTCGGTTTAACATCATGATGGACAGATATGTGTCTACATAGTCGTACATCAGTCAGTGTCTCTACCGTTCCTAAACGAAACCAAAGCAATATGGACGCGAAATTGGCCAGGAATGTCAAAGCGACATTAACACTGTGTCGCGAACGAGTAAGAGTGTGCGGCGAGCGTCAGAGCAACTGCGATAAAGACAATATTTTTAGTTTACCTCAGTCAATTTTTAACACAACCATCAATAGCCATATTTTTAAGCTTTATAACTAACTCAAAATTATCCTGAGATGGTTTAAATGATAAGTAGAATTTGATACTTACCATAGTAAATAAGGCATAGACAAGATGAATTTAATTATATAATTTATGATTTCTGACAATGGCGCTAGTGGATTTAGCTGTTTATTTTATGTAAATTTTGTATATATAGACTTTTTAAATATAAATGCTATTATGAAATTAATTGTAGTCTAAATTATTCCCTGAAATAGTTTTTATAGTTATTAACTTAAATCATACGCTAAGTGAAACATAAAGTAACAATATATCTATAAATCTCTTCCTTATCTGTACAAATATTATTAAAACTAGCTACTTCCGCGCGGTTTCACACGCTCTGCTCAGTTGGTCGTAGCGTAATGTTTTATAGCTTATAGCCATCCTCGATAAATGCGCTATCCAACACAAAAAGAATTATTCAAATCAGACTTGTAGTTGCGGAGATTAGCGTACAAACAAACAAACAAACAAAAAACAAAGTCTTCCGCTTTATATAATAGTATAAGATTAACTTCTATTTCAATAAATAAATCATTTTCCGTATTATTACAACAACACCTAAAATCAAATATATATAAGAGTTCTTTTTAAGGGGGTAAAATCATCGAATGACTTCTCCCGCCTGGGTGAGGCGGGAGGGAGTGTCAGACTCTTACTGACTAAAAACCACCCCGTTCCTTCTCCTGCACGTCGAGCTGGAGCCACTGTAACCCGTTAAGTTCTTCGCGGCTAAATATATAACACTAGTGCATGGATTTAAAACTGTTTTTTTTAATTCTCAGTAGTAGAACGGAGACTGGTGCCCGGTATATGGCAACATTCTCAACCCCTATTAACATAAATAGTGAAAAGTGGGTGTTACATTGTACCATGGCATTAAGTGCACCCCTTCGGGGATAAAAGGCGTGATGTTATGATGTTATGCTGCAAGTATTTAAAAATAGGATAGAATATAAAAAAAATACTTTTATAAAAAAACTCTTTCCATACGATTCTAAAAACACTTTTTAATACATTCAAAAATATAAGTAAGTACTAATTGCCAGTGTTTAACGTAATCTTACATTTTCTCTCTTCCTGATATTTGTTTTCTAGACATAAAATGTTGAATACTATTTCCCAGTCCCGACTAGAACCCAGAACTTTACCAGACAACCATTATAACGGACATCAAAAAGGAGGTTTTATTTTGGACCTGCATTATCACCATCATCAGCATCAACAGCTTATAAGTGCCCACTGCTGAATAAAGCCCTCTTCACTGAGGTTTGAAGATTAATCACCACGCTTACCTAAAGCGGGTTGGCGTTTCCAAACTTATAATAATTATTAGACTATAAGCGCAAATTACCTCACAATGTTTTCCTTCACCGTTTGTCAGTGGTGTTTAGATAATCTTAGAAAGTATATTTAACTCAGAAAAAGTCAAGTCACATTGCTACCTACTGACCGTTGGTAGCTTCCGAACCGTCACGTAAGTTGTAATTTTATTGTACCATAATTAGTAATAATAATTATAAGATAAACCTAGAAATAAAAGAAATCGCTTAATAATACCCGCTCAGGATAATTTTGTGTTGATCCCTAAGCAATCTTCCAGTTTTTCAAGTGTTAATGCTTATTATGTATATTAATATAATTTTGTAATTCATAATTAAACTAGCTTCTGCCCGCGACTTCGTACGCGCAATCCCATTTTCCCCCTGTTCCCGTTCGTGATTTTCGGTAAAAAGTAAAAAAAAGTATTGTATAAAAAGTATCCTATGTCCGTCTCCTGGTTCTAAGCTATCTCCCTGCCAATTTTCATCTAAATCGATTGAAGCGTTCTTGAGTTATAAATAGTGTAACTAACACGACTTTCTTTTATATATATAGATGTGTTAAAATTGTGTATCACCATTGATGGAAGCAGGTACTTTTATTCATTTAAAATATATAAATTTAATAAAATCATTTCAATTCATTCCGCTCAGAGCCTGTGTGACTAACTGATTGGCAGACAAATCAATGAGTGTTTCTGTATTTTTGCTCATTAGGTGGCGCTATTGTGTACCTCGTTCTCCGACCAAAACGTTTATTATTTTACAGCTACAATGATTGGACAAATAAACCTCTTTGCGCTATCCGCTGAGTAAAAAACAGTAGCCCCTCATTCCCGCACGATACAATCCGGGTAGGATGTATATAAACATAATAAAAAGAGAAAGATTTATGTATCAATGGCCACACAAAGATTGTGTAAATTGTTTCATAGTCCGTATGTATGTAAATTACGTTTTAGTGTAAAATTGTTCAGTATTTTTTATTATGAAAGCATGAAACTCGGTTCGATTCCCGGGTCAGACAAAGTATCTATTACTGAGTTTAAAAAAAATCTCAGTAGTAACATGGAGTCTGGAAATGTGTCCGGTATATGGCAATAAACTCACCCCCTATTACATGGGAATGGGGCTCATAACATAATAGTAAAAAGTGGGTGTTACATTGTACAGTGGCATTAAGTGCCGTAATGTGCGCTGCCTATCCCTTCGGGGATAAAGGGCGTGATGTTATGTTATGTTATGGTCTTACTTATATTAGGTACTTTATTATTTTTTTATATATTTCTTGAGGTGACGTTTGACCACTATCTCGCCTGGTAGTGAGAGACTATGCGGTCTACGATATAGCACGTCTTTATACTGAACATGTCAGAAATCTTCTAAATACGAGTTTCATGCTTATAACATAACGAATGATATTTATTTATGTTCATAGTATTTTTTTATTTTATTTTTTTATTTATTCAGGAAACAGACAGTCTCTTACAAATAAAATTATTAAAATACAATGTGATACATACAGACCTAGAGTTCCATAAAACAATAATATACGAAAAGGCACTGTTTTTAAAGGTGTCAAATCAGTAGTATACATTAAAAAAAAAAGAAAAGAATTACAGAGATAAAGTTTTTAAAATGATAAACGAAATTACATTCCTATAAAGTGACCGTGATATTTCTGCTTAATTTTAGATTTATACACATTGGTACTGGTATTAAATATGTCTAATTCATTCAATTCTTCATTATAAGTGTTAACACTACGTTTGAAAAAGTTGTTACTTGTGTATATTTTTCGATAAGAGGGTACTGAAAATAATGTTCGCAAGCGGGAACCATGTCGGGGCACTCTTAGATATATTTTTTCTAATAGTGGGGGTGAGTCAATATAACCATTAATTATTTTAAAAAGAAACATTTGATCAAAGTACTTTCTTCTGTCAGAGAGCAATGACAAATTGTGGTATCTTAACGAGGTCTCATAAGATACATGAGGGTGACAGCAGCGGTAATCTAAGCATCTAATAAATTTCTTTTGAATATTTTCAATTCGGGTGATGTGACATGCATAATAGGGGCTCCAGATGATACATGCAAAATCTAATAGAGAACGTACAAAACTAAAGTAAAGTAACTTTAAAGTACTAGCTCGTTTAAATGGCTTTGAAATTCTTGTAATGAAACCAAGCTGCCTGTACGACTTCTTGATCACATGATCGATATGTAGGTTAAATGAGAGTTGTGAGTCCATCAAGACACCCAAATCACGAACCGAGTAAACTCGACTAAGGGATTCACCATTAATATGGTAGTTATAGTTTACAGGTGTACGGTTTCGAGTGTATGTGATGATGGAGCACTTATTTAAGTTTAAGTAAAGTTGATTCATAGAGCAATAACTAAAGAGCCCATCGAGATCGGACTGTAACTGTAAACAGCAGTCCACTCCAGAAACAATCCTAAAGAATTTAGCGTCATCTGCATATAAAAGAAAATTAGATGTTTTAAGGATATCTCCAATGTCATTAATATAAAGAATGAATAACAATGGCCCCAGATGTGATCCTTGTGGAATACCAGATGGGATCTCCAAAAACTAGAAGTGTAACCCTTTAGGAATACGGCTTGAGAGCGATTTTTTATGTATGAGCTAATCCAACGAAGCAAATCACCATGTACTCCAATTCTCCAAAGCTTCTCAATAAGCATATCGTGATTGATTTTGTCAAAAGCTTTAGAGAAGTCCGTGTAAACAACGTCCACTTGAAGTCGTTTATCCATAGCATTGACTAGGTAATCGGTAAAATCAAGCAGATTAGTTTCCACTGACCGACTTCTACAAAAGCCGTGCTGGTTTGGGGATATATGACGCTGCAACAATCGTGAAAGCTCACTCGATACAATTTTTTCTAAAATTTTTCCAAGTAGGTTAAGTTTGCTTATCGGTCTGTATTGCGTTACATCGTCTCTTCTATCACTTTTCGGGATTGGAGTAACTAAAGCTTGTTTCCATATTGTAGGAAAAATACCATCACATAGTGATTTAGTATAGATCATAGTTAGCGGTGGGAATAACTGAGTTGCACATTTTCGGATAAACAATGGATGAATACCATCATGGCCAGCTCCTTTATTAGGATCGATGGCTTTAAGCTCCTCATAAATACGATTCTCGGTCACGGTTAATACATTAATTTGTGCTTGAGAGTTCAAAGGGGGATTATCAAAATCAAAATTTACGGGACGGGCTGGGGAATGAATATAAACCGAATAAAAGTACTCATTGAAGAGCCTGCAAGTATCTTCACCAGTGCTAGAAATCGTCTGTTCATATTTTACTGTTGTAGGAATTTCACTATTTAGAGACTTTGATTTCACAAAGGACCAAAAATATTTGAGCAGGCATTATTGCAAAAAATTAAGTCAAGAAGTCTATTATTGACATTGAACTGTGAGTTATATTGTTTTAGACCAGAGAAGCTCATAAAATCTGCAGTTAATTGTGTCAAAGCGTCACCAGACTCAGAACGAATAATCATGGAGTCAGACTCGGCATCATAACACCATACCGCATGGGACACGTTGAAATCACCTGCAACTATAAACTTGTCATTTGGATAGAGGTGCATTAAGTTGCTCACACTTTCCATTATAAGGCTCAACTCGGACTCATGACAGCTGCTATGACGAACATAAGTGCAACATATGTGTAGGAATCCAGGAGCTTGATGGTTTCCTTTATCGGTGAGTGGGACACTGATCCACAAGTGCTCAGACGAGACAGATGCCTCCCATCCCTCACGTATGGTGGGATTTAAATCTCGGCGTACGGCAATCGCAACGCCGCCACCTCTTTCTGCGTTTGTGACTAGAAAATCCCGATCACGGCGGAAAACAATGTATCTATCGTCGAAGTACTCAGAACTATGAAAATTATTATTAAGCCAAGTTTCGGTAATTAAATAAATGTCGTAATTATTTAATAAAATATTATTTAAAAAATTATGAGATTTTGTTCGAAGACCCCTAACATTTTGATAATAAATCTTAATTATTTCAGAGAATTTTAATAAAAATAAAAATTATCAAACTGTCACCACCCACGTCCACAAAGTACGAGACTAGAGAAAAGTCCTTCGAAAATGCTTGCATATAAGTTACCCCACACAAGTTGTATATAGAACAAATTTGACAGTATAATATAATATCTAAAACATAGTTATAAAACGGTCACTTTATGTTCGAGAGATCACCATCACCAGATATACGTATGGCCTTAGAGGAGTCCGACTTCCTCATGAAAATTTTACAATCGCGAACCCATAGATGAGCAAAACCACGTTGTTGCTTCAACTCACGCGCGCGCTTCAGAAGTAACTTATTCGCCGGTATGAGATGATCGCTGAAGTAGATATTTGTAGCAGGACCGGTCAAACCCACATCAACTGTGCTGATACCACGTCGAGACCGAATAGCTGCCAACAGCTGATCCTTAGAGCATTGCCGTGCAAACTGAACAATTATAGCAGGTGGACGGGAAGGTACGTTTCTGTCCTGTTCAAAACGGCGAACACGGTGTACACGGTTAATGTCACGTAGATCCAAAGGCAAGCCAACCTTGGAGTAAATTTTGCCCAAAATGGACAGCAGGTTTTCACTTTTATGTGACGGTATCCCGGAAATTTCAACATTATTTATTCTGGAATATTGCTCACGTAAGTTATTCTCTCTCTTAAGCTCAGCTATTGTACCATTTGCTACATCAAGTTCCTTACGAACTGATTCCAAATTAGAAGTTACACGCTCAACGCTGCTCAATCTTCCCTCCATATTTTCCATCCTAGAATTGATCTCTCTCCATTGGGCGGTCACTTCTTCGACAGAGGTCTTTACAATGCCGACATCGGCCTTAAGGTCATCAAAGCAGCTACGGAGATTCTTCAACTCCTTTAATACGTCTGATAAAGTTGGGGAGTTACCCGACATACGACAATCGATGCAACGCCAATTATCCTTCTTCTCCGATGTCATCTTACGGTACGTGGTTTCCTGGAGGCCAGAGCAGGAGTAATGTAGGTGCCTCCGACACTGACTACATACAACACCGTCGGTGACAGTATCTCTGCACTTGACGCAATCCATTTGAAATAATTTTATTAACTCCAAAGTCCCCAAATCTGGTAAATGGTAGTTAACTGGTAACCCTGACTTGCGACGTCAATGTCAAATTTGTCAAAATGAACTTGTCATTTGATTTTGACAGGTGACTTAATAAAGCACAAGTGGGTAGTTCTTATTTACTGACAGTTCTGTCTACTTTATATGAATTAGAGGGTATTTAAATGTGGTACTTGCGGTTGTTTAATCTTAGGAATTCGCTATTGTTTCTTCAGGACTTCAATAGATAGGGTTCCTTAGGTGTTGCTCTTTCCCTTGCGTTATAGTGCAAACCAATTTACGAGAATTAAATACTTTATAAGACATAAAAAAAACACACAGCCTATTTATACTATGCCGGGGTTGCCAGCGAATGAAGTGAAGAAAATGCTGTGTACATGTGACGCGAGTGTATTTTTGTTTAGTTGATATTATCAACGAAAAATAAACATACTGTATCATACTATAATCTTTGTCTTATTGGGAACTAGTTACCCTCGGGCTGTTTCACCCGCTGCTGGGCTCCTATCGACCGTAGCGGGATGTTTTATCCTATATAAACCTTCCACGATAAATGCTTTATTCAACACGATAATTCTTTCGTAAACTATGTTTGAAAACACAAATATAGGTACTAAAACTTCCTCCTAAATGTAACACACACTTTTCAGAAAACCGCATCAAAATCGGTTTAAGTAATCGCGAGATAATACCGCACAAACATACGTACAGACTACAGATCAAATTGGTAAACTCCTTTTTTTAACCAACTTTTTCTTCTTGAACTTGGTTAGAAATATTTTTTCAAAAAGAACCCGCTCGGCTATTCTGTATTTTTTTTCTTCTTCGGCAACCAAGTGAAACGGTGTTGTCGACTATACTGCCAGTGTCAAAATTAATGAACCGTCGAACTTAACTTTGCGGTAGTTTTTAGTTGTTAGTAGCTGGAATGACAAAACAATTGGGTTAGTAAACATAGACATTGTCAACTATTTTATTGTAACTTTACAGTGAACTCAATCGCAGTCCACCATATTATTGGTAGTGAGAATAATTCGACCAATGACTGGCGAGAATGCGATCGAGCTCACTTCAAAGTTCAAATTGACAGTTACAGTATACAATAGCAGTAGGTAGTTCCAGAGATTAGCGCATTCAAACAAACAAAGTCATACAAACAAACTCTTCAGCTTTATATATTAGTAAGTGTAGATTACCGGAGGCCCAAAGGAGAACCTAATTCTCATTCCAAGGTGTAGATTTCTAGCCATCAGACCACCACAGATGGGACCCAACAGGGCTGATGCCGATACGGAGCCCCGGAAGACTTAACGGGTTACCGGGGCTCCGGCTCGAAGTGCAGGAGTAGGAACGGGGTCGTTTTTACTCAGTAAGAGTCTGACACTCCTTCTCGCCTCACTCAGGCGGGAGAAGTCATTCGATGCTTTTCCCCCCTTAAAAAAATCCCATAAAAAAGTGTAGATAGATAAACCAAACTGGAATATTGACAGATTGACCACACGTGGCTATTCTATTTATATTATCTTCTATGTTCGTAAACAAACTTCATTATATCGCCATCACTTCTTTCCCAAACCTTCGTGCAAGAATAAGATGGCAGCATTTTTCATATAGTAGGTAAGTAAATATTAGTAATGTTCAGCAGTGAACTTCTTGTGGCTTGTATTATGATGATAATAAAATGATGTGTCGTAGAGACCCAAACATTAAGGCGCCCGCTTCTCATGCACGCGGGTCCGAAACCTGCAAGTCCCAATGTGATATTTTTACCGACTTCAAAAAAAGGGGGAGCAACTGTGAAACAGTCATGCTTCGGCACGAATAGGCCGGCTCGACCGGAGCGATACCACGGCTTCACAGAAAATCGACGTAAAACAACGCTTACGTTGTGTTTCGTCGTATGAGTGGGGCTACCGAAGGCCCAATTAGGTTTTGGCGTTGTGTGCCTAGTAATTTAGAGGCAGACGTTTAAATAAAATTCGTGTTCAATTTAGAAAGAAAGAAGAACCATTAGAAGAACAGAGACACAACAACAATTAATGGCAAAACTTGTAGTCAACTTGTCCATGAAAAATGTAACCGCTGAAAGAGTCACAGAGTTAAAATTAAAACCATAGACGGTCAATGGCGACCATAAACAATATTAATATTTTACTCACAATGCTAATAGTGGGTCCTAATGCACTACCAGCACTACTACGCATGAGTCGCGGAGAACCTAACGGGTAACCGGGGCTCGACGTGCAGAAGAAGGAACGGGGTGGTTTTTAGTCAGTAAGAGTCTGACACTCCCTTCCGCCTCACCCAGGCGGGAGCAGTCATTCGATGATTTTCTCCCCTTAAAAAAAGGACTACTATGCATGCATACCTACTGATAGTGGGACGCCACAAGGTAAAAAAGGAAAACATCGTGAGGAAACTTGACTTATAATTTCTAGTTGATTATTATTTTTATTACTCCAATCCTCCTCCGTGAAAGTTTCTGTGTTTGGATGTTTGTCCGACAATCACGCTGAAACTACTGGGACCTCACCAGCACATCATCTACTCTCAGGAAGTATCTCAGCAGGACATACCAAGCGCTAAAGTGACGTTTGGCTAAAGGCCCTGGGCCTTTGGCTACAGCTGCAGCCGAGATAGTAGTCAACGTCGGCCTATCAAATATAAAAAAATCTCACCTTTTTAACCTTCCCTGGACTTCTACAAATAATTATTAAATACCAAAATTAGCGAAATCGATGCAACCGTTTTCAAGTGTTAGCGAGACTAACGAACAGCAATTCATTTGTATAATATAGAATACTAGCAAACCCGACGAACTCCGTTTCGCCACCAGTAGGCTTCGTTTTATGTAACATTTCGTTTGGATATTAAAACATGAAGAATTTTTTTTTTGTTTTATATTTTACAAACCTCACGGAGCCCGAGACCTTTCAAACGAATGCAAAACCGTGGAAATCTGTTCGTGCGTTCTGGAGTTATAGCGTCAAGGAGAAAAACCCGACTTATTTTTATATAGTAGATTAGTTTTATTAGTACCTTAATAATAGGTATCTACAACTAGTAACATTGATAGGTTTCCTGCAAATTACCTACGCCTAAATCAGGGATCGCAAAACGCCTACAAAGAAAGTCCAATCAGAATAAAATAAAATCTTGAATAAGCTTCAAATCTTGTTAGAATGAGTAAGTCCATCTGAGTTATAAGGAAGCTGTGTAAGTATCTATTTAAAGAAAACCGTGGAGGTTGCGAAGGTTCAGTGAACCAAACAGTTAATTTTAACTCTGTGCGTGATCGTTTCCAGTCGTGATGTTATGCTTTGATCGTTTTATTAGTTCAACTAGAATGTTGGATCTATGTAAAACTGAAGGAATTTGTTAAAGAGAGATGAGAACTTTTATTGTTTTATGCAATTGTCAGGAATTAACATTGGCATGAAGTCTACACGTTGCTAAGGTAGGTTAATTAAACCGCATCAAAATCGGTTCAGCCTATCTCGAGATTACCTACATACTTTCTTTTCTAAGATAAATTTAAGAAAATATTTTTATTAGTGTATGTACTTTGTATGAAGAAAATTGAAATTTAGAAAAGGAGAATTGACGAAGGTGTTTAAAACTTTACATCAATAAGATGGATTACCTACACGAGCCTATGTCTGTAATTACAGATAATATGTAATTACATATCCAGGAACATTATACTACCTAAATATTATATTTCTATTCGATATCACATTACTTATAGTATCAAATTTATAGAAGAGGATAAATTTATATAAGAGCACAATTTATTTATTTATTTATTTTTGAAAATGTACAATATAAAACAATGCGACATGCTTACATGCGATTGTTTATTGTATGTACCATGTGTACATGTTTGAGCAAATACTTAAATATGATTTGATTTAACTTATTGAAGACTGTTATTAACTGTCGACTTTGTCCGCGTAGAGTATGATTCCTGTTTTATCCCATGAGAGCATTTAATTGGGATCAAAAGTACCCTATCAGCTAAGTTCGCATAAACCGTGCCTGTATACCAAATTTTATCAAACTCCGTTCAGTAAGCAACCTATTCACTCGGGCCTTTTTAGAGGTGTTACGAAGTTTGCCGGGTCAACTAGTTGTTGAATACAAATCTTATAACTACCTATAACATCGTTTTCTATGAACAGTGAACCAAACAAAAACGTGCTTGAAAATGTCGACCAAAGCAAATTGTTCGGCGCATTGCCATACTTAAGTACTGTTAGGTACCATAAGGTAATACTTTCGGTGTATGAACTACTATGGCATTTGTCATAAATTATTATTATAATAATTGTAGGTAGTATGTATATATTTACCTACTCTTAGAGCTCTGCCTCACAAGTTCGATCTAATCATTGTTTTTTACAAATTAACCAGCGAAAAAGATAAAAATCCTATGATGAAATATTAAACGACCCTGTAAATTTATCCACCTCAATAATCGATCCTGTGTCCCCGTGGTCGGTAGCCACCCGTTCCATCACTACATCGCCGTCACCAAGGAAACACGGCAGCACTGAAAACCTTCATATTCACCTGAATTCATTCGTATACATACATAATAATATCTTGACACATTAATCATACATATTACATGAACACATGCAAAGTTGTGCGGACAATACACTCACACAAGGACCGTATAAGGTCACTGAGATAGCGTCAAGAATGCTTTAACTCAGTCATCGCTTAATACGGCAATGCAATGATGTCACCGCAGAACGCCTAGCGCCTACATGCCTCATGACTAGTTATACGTTCTTGGACCAATTACTTTCAATCTTGTTTGCGTTATATGAAATTACGTCAACTTGTTAGACCTTCAATCAAAATTGTGTGTAGGTTGACAATTTTTTTATTGATAACTTGGAAATTGTTGCTGAGAACAACTAAGATGATTCCGTTTCTTTACAGTAGCCTAGTTTTGT